TTTTTTTTTTTTTTTTCCTTTTCCAATACTTTGTTTCTTTTGTTTCGTAAGAATACAAAGGGTTAGAGATTAGAGATTCTTAGTACTGGACACGAGTGTATTTCAAAAATTTGAACTTCCCTTTATTCGATAATGTAATTCCGTACAAAAAGGCATGCATCTAGTAATTGTACGCAGCTGCCACTTATATTTGTGTGATGAATCCCCTTTAGTAACTCGGATGACCTTGGAGGCCAAATGTTTTGACTTCAAAGATGGGTGTGGCGTGGAAATGAGTTTTTGTACGATTCAATGCACAGTACTTGTGGACCGATTTTACGCACAGTTTCTACTGATTTTGTTTGGAGATATTTGTTGACCATCCATATTATAGGTTCTATCTAACTTTCTATAATTCTTGATGCTGAAGAATGTGCCAGTTTTTCTGTCTGGTGATTGTTGCTACTTGCTTGACTGTAGAGTAGATATTGATTTTTTCGATATGTAAATGAAAATGATGGTTGTGGTGTACTGCAGGCTATTCCTTCAGCCTGACTTGGATAAAAAATTCACGAGGAGAAGTAGAATTGCTGTACAATGTGCTGTCGTTGGGGACAATCGAGAGAGTCGCACACGAGTGGATGAAGGAGAAAATCATCTTCAGCACAAGCATGTGCCATCTCTTTTTCGAGAGGGTTTCTCGTGTTATTGACCATTGATGGTTGGCATTTTCATTTTTCTTTTTCTTTTTCCGTTTGGCTTATGTGTTGAACATGTATGATGAAGAGTTGGCAAAAATACCTAAGTCAATTGGTTTGCAGATAACGCATTAAACCAGTAGAACAGTAAGCCTTCGGCTTGCAAATTTGAAATTGATTTACAGTGTGTGCCCTACGAAATTGTGCACTTATGTCCATTTAACATTTCCTTATTGTTATGATTCTAATTGTATGGCTTCTCAATCTAGACAGCAAAGCCTTTTAAAACTCCACTACGAAAAGTGTTTGAAAATGTGCCACATTTCAAATATTCGAATGTTTGCAAAATGGCAATGTGTACATTGAATGACATGGAGCCCAATCAAAGAGTTACAACATAGAAGTTGCTTGCTTTTTTTTTTTTTTTTTTTTTTTCTCTATGAATGCAGCCAAAGGCGATCGTGCAGGCGGTCTTCACCAGCTCCGAACATCTCATCAACCCTTTCACCATCTCTGTAGAAATGGAAAGTGGGCGTGTAACGAATGTGTTGGGTAGTCTCTGGACATTCATCAATATCGGCATAAACGAACGAGAGCTTGGGAAACTTGGAACTTAATCGGCAGAATACGGGAAGAATCTGACTGCAAACGCGACACCTGAGAACCAACAAATAAGTATCACATTTATATGCATCTATCATAAAGTTTGAAAGAGATCAACGCCTCATGAGTTCAATAACGCGACACCTTTTTTTTTTTTTT